AGAGGTGCCCAGGATGAACCTTGTGAGGTTGGCACTGACCAGCCCCAATGCCAGGTATGCTTTGAGGTGCCCTGGGCATATCTGGGGCACACCTGGGGGTCACCCCACACCCCCAGAGCACATCGTGGGGCTCAGCCCATGCTCAGACCCAGCTCCAGGGTGGGAAATCCACACACAAAAAATTCCCAGATGGAAAATTCTGCTCTTGGCAGCAGCAGCAGAACAGGAAGGGGATGGAGAGATGGAAAAAAAGGGGGTGGGAAATGGAAAAAAGGCGGGGGAAGGACGGAAAAGGGGGGCAACAGGAGCTGCTGTCCCCAGGGACCCCTCCCACGGTCCCCCAGCCCCTCAGGGACAGCACAGGACGGGACCAGTTTGGCTCCAAGGAGAACTGGGACGGGACTGGGGGCGCTTTTGGGGGGTCCCATGGGGTGGGGGGCGGTGCTGGTGGGGCTGGGGGCGTTTTGGGGGGGTCTCTCCCCCCAATCCATCCAGGTGTTGATGTCCCCCCCGTGTCACCCCCTCGCAGCTGGGACAGGAAGAACAATCCGGAGCCCTGGAACAAGCTGAGCCCCACAGACCAGTACAAAGTGAGCACTGGGTGGACTGGGAGGGCTGGGAGTGTTGGGGGGGAGGAATTTTTAGGGCATTTTTAGGGTAAAACACTGAGTTTTCCTCATGCTTGTGCTGAAATTTGGGGAGGGGGCATTGAGTGACACCAAGGCCAGGCTGCAGTGACACTGAGGGGACACTTCAGGGTTTTCCAGAGGCAATTTTGGGGGAGGGAGCCATTTTTAGGGCATTTACTTTTAGGGTAAAACTGTGTTTTCTTCAGGAAAGGGAAAGGGGGAACAGCCCTGGGGTAGAACGCCCCAAATATTTGTGCTTAAATTTGGGGAGGGGGCACTGGATAACACTGGGGGGACTGCAGTGACGCTATGGGGACATTTTAGGGTTTCCCAGGTGGCAATGTGGGGGAAGGAGCCACTTTTAGGGTAAAATATTCAGGAAAGGGAAAGGGGGATCAGTCCTGGAGCAGAGACCCCCAAAATGTTTGTGCTCAGATTTGGGGAGGGGGCACCAAGGCCACCAAGGCTGCAGTGACACCGTGGGGACACTTTAGGGTTTCCCAGATGCAATTTTGAGGGGGATTTAGCCACTTTTAGGGCACATTTAGGGTAAAATATTTAGGAAAGGGAAATCAGCCCTGAAGCAGAGACCCCAAAATGTTTGTGCTCAGATTTGGGGAAGGGGCACCAAGGCCACCAAGACCCCAAGGCTGCAGTGACACTGGGGGGACACTTCAGGGTTTCCCAGAGGCCATTTTGGGGTAAGGGAGCAATTTTTAGGGCACTTTTAGGGTAAAACACTGAGTTTTCTTCAGGAAAGGGAAAGGGGGATGGATCATCCCTGGAGCAGAGACCTCCCCCCCCCCCCAAATACTCAAATTTGGGGAGGGGGCACTGAGTGACACCTGTACAGGCTGCAGTGACACCGGGGGGACACTTTAGGGTTTCCCAGGAGGTTGGCAGTGTGTGGGGTGAGGGGGATTCAGCCACTTTTAGGGCACTTTTAAGGTAAAACATGGGAGTTTTCCTCATGTTTGTGCTCGAATTTGGGGAGGGGGCACTGGGTGACACCAAGGCCAGGCTGCAGAGACTCTGGGGGGTCCGTGTGACACTGGGGTGCTGCAGTGACCCCCCTGACCCCCTCTCTCCCGCAGTTTCTGGCAGTTTCCACCGACTACAAGAACCTCAAGAAGGAGCGGCCGAGCTTCTGAGGCAGCGCTGGGACCGGCTGGGCTGCAGGAGGAGCCCCACAAAGACCCCACAAAAGGCCCCCAAAACCCCCCCCCCCCAAAATCCCCAAAGCCCCCCCAAGCTCCCAAAACCCCCCAGAGCCCCCCAAAGCTTCCTCAGTCCCCCCAAACCCCGAGGTCCTGTCCCCCACCCGCAATAAAGCCCAGCCCTGGGGGTGCCCCCTCACCCTCAGCTCCTGCACTGAACCGAGCACGGGGATGAATTGTGGGGTGGGGGGCAGCAAAGGGGGGGTCCTTTGGGGTTTCCCAAATCCTGGGAGCAGCAAATTGGATCCTTTAGGGTTCCCAGAGTTTGGGGGCAGCAAACTGGATCTTTTATGGTTTTGCAGGACCTGAGGTGGGAGAGCACGGGGTCCTTTGCGTTTTCCCAGAATCTAGGAGCAGCAAACCGGATCCTTTGGGGTTTCCCAAAGTGGGGGCAGTAAACGGAATCCTTTATGGTTTCCCAGAGCCCAGGGGCACCAAACTGGATCCTTCAGGGTTTCCCAAAACTTGGGGGGACAGCACTGGATCCTTTATGGAAGTTAGGGGCAGCAGACTTGATTTTTTATGGTTTTCCAGAGCCTGGGGTGGATGGGGGGACATCACCGGATCCTTTATGGTTTCCCAGAGTTTGGGGGCAGCAAATTGGATCCTTTGGGGTTTCTCAGAGCCTGGGAAGGGACAGCAAACTGGGTCCTTTAGGGTTTCCCAAAACCTGGAAGGGAGCAGCAAATTGGATCCTTTAGGGTTTCCCGGACTTTGGGGGCAGCAACCTGAATCCTTTAGGGTTTCCCAGAACTTAGGGACAGCACTGGATCCTTTAGGGTTTCCCAGAACTTAGGGACAGCACTGGATCCTTCGGGGTTTCCCAAAGCCTGAGAGCAGCAAACTGCATCATTTAGGGTTTCCCCCAAAATCTTGAAGCGGGGACAGCACTGGATCCTTTAGGGTTTCCCAGAACCTGGGGGGACAGAACTGGTTCCTTTATGGTTTCCCAGAGTTTGGGGACAGCAAACTGGATCTTTTAGGGTTTCCCAGTTCCTTGGAGCAGCAAACTGGATCTTTTATGGTTTCCCAGAACTGAGAGGGGATAGCACTGGCTCCTTGGGCGTTTCCCAGAACCTGGGAGCAGCAAACTGGATCCTTTGAGGTTTTCCAGAGCTTCGGGTCAGCAAATTGGATCATTTAGGGTTTTCCAGAGGGGGGGAAGCAGAAAATGGGATCCTTCATGGAATCACGGGGCCTGGGGGAGCCTGGGAGCAGCAAATTGGATCCTTTATGGTTTCCCAGAACTTGGGGACAGCTTTGGATCCTTCGGGGTTTCCCAAAACCTGGGTGGGAAGCAAACTGAATCCTTTATGATTTTCCAGAGCCTGGGGTGGGAAGGGGCAGCGAACTGGATCCTTTAGGGTTTCCCAGTTCCTAGGAGCAGCAAATTGAATCTTTTATGGTTTCCCAGAACTGAGAGGGGATAGCACTGGCTCCTTTGAGGTTTCCCAGAACCTGGGAGCAGCAAACTGGATCCTTTAGGGTTTCCCAGTTCCTAGGAGCAGCTAACTGAATCTTTTATGGTTTCCCAGAACTTGGAGGCAGCAAACTGGATCTTTTAGGTTTTCCCAGAGCCTTGGGGGGACATCTCCGGATGTTTTCTGTTTTCCCAGAGCCTGAGCACGGGGGTGTTTGTGTGACCCCCCCGGGGGACGCTCACAGCCCTGGCAGCAGCACAAACCCCGCAAAGCCCCCGAGCCCCCGGGGCCGGTTCCGCTCCCACGGCCCGGGGTCCCCTCGCGGCCCCTCTGGGGAGGGAAAGGGATGGGAGGGGAGGGGGGTCAGAGAGACACGGGGGGGACGGGCGGGACCCGCGGGGGGGCGTGACACGGGACAGAGCCCGGGACACGGGACAGACACGGGACAGAGCCCGGGACACGGGACAGAGCCGGGATAGAGCCCGGGACACGGGACAGACACGGGACAGAGACCAGGACACGGGACAGACACGGGACAGACACGGGACAGAGCCCGAGACACGGGACAGAGCCGGGATAGAGCCCGGGACACGGGACAGACACGGGACAGAGACCAGGACACGGGACAAAGCCCGGACAGAACCGGGACAGAGCCCGGGACACGGGACAGACACGGGATATGGGACAGACACGGGATAGAGCCCGGGACACGGGACAGAACCGGGATAGAGCCCGGGACATGGGACAGACATGGGGAGGGACGGGCGGGACCCTCTGGGGGACGTGACACGGGACAGAGCCCGGAACACGGGACAGACACGGGACAGAGCCGGGACAGAGCCTGGGACACGGGACAGAACCGGGACACGGGACAGAGCCGGGACAGGGGACATAGCCCGTGACAGAGCCCAGACAGCCGGGACAGGGGACAGAACCCAGTTGGACAACAGGAAAAGGGGAAGGGAGGGATCCCAGGCTGTCCCCCCACTGTACCCCAAATGTTCCAAGGCTCAGCATCACCCCCTGCCCTCAGGATGGGGAAACTGAGGCACCAGAGCCTCGCTGAGGGGTTCTATGGACCCCTCCCCAACATCCCCCTGCCCTCAGAGCCCACGGGGGCAGCACCAGCATGAGGAAACTGAGGCACGAGAGCCTGAGGGACCCCTCCCCAACATCCAGCACGGCCCAAACACCTCCAAATCTCTGCCCCCACTTTTATTAGCGACCCCTCCCCATAGAAAAGTGCAAGGTGAGGCTGCAGCAAGCAGTGCCCCCCATCCAAATGCAGGATTTGGGGGGGTCTCTGTCCCCTAACACTGAGAGTGGGATGGGTGCCCAAGGACACGGCACACAAAGGTGACAACGGGGGACAAGAGGACAGGCAGGGGTGGCTCTGAGGGTCTCAGTGCCCCCTCCCCAGCGCCCCCAGGCTGGCAGCAGGGCCGTGCCCCCCTCAGTGGTCGCTGAGGGCGGGCATGGAGGTCTCAACAGGACCCTGGTGGCTCCTGGCACTTGGGGGACCCTTCCCCAATACCCAGCACAGCTCCAAATCTCTGCCCCCACTTTTATTAGCGACCCCTCCCCATAGAAAAGTGCAAGATGAGGCTGCAGCAAGCAGTGCCCCCCACCCAAATGCAGGACTTGGGGGGGGTCTCTGTACTCTAACACTGACAGAAGGATGCGTCCCCATCCCAGGGATGCAGCACCCAAGGGTGACAATGAGGGACAAGAGGACAGGCAGGGGTGGCTCTGAGGGTCTCGGTGCCCCCTCCCCAGCGTCCCTAGGCTGGCAGCAGGGCCGTGCCCCCTCAGTGGTCGCTGAAGCCGGGCATGGGGAAGGCACGGGCGAAGGTCTCCACGCGCTGGCGCAGCTCCTGCAGGCGCTGCTGCGTCGCCGCGTCCTGGAGCAGGAAATTCCTGAAATCCTGGAGCTTACCTGGCGTGGGGAGGGCACAGGTGAGCACCAGGGCAGATCCAGACATGCCACAGGTACCCACAGCATGGCTGGCATCGGGGTGGGGTGAGGGGATGGGGGGGAAATGGGAGAAATGGGGAAAATGGGGGGAAAGAAATGGGGGGGAAGAAATGGGGGGGGAAGAAATGGAAAGAAATGGGGGGAAATAAATGGGGGGGAAGGAATGGGGGGAAAGGAATAGGGGGAAAATGGGGGGGAAATGGAGGGGAAATAGGAGGAAAACGAGGAAAAACTGGGGGGAAATTGGGGGAAATGGGGGGAAACAAATGGGGGCAAAAAATGGGGGGAAAGAAATAGAAGGAAATGGGGGGAAATAAATGGGGGAAATAAATTGGGGGAAATAAATTGGGGGAAATGAAGAGAAATGGGGTGGAAATGGGGAAAAATTGGGGGAAATGGGAGGAAATAAATGGGGGAAATGGGGGGAAATAAGTGGGGGAAATAAATGGGGGAAAATAAATGGGGGAAATAAATGGGGGGAAATTGGGAGAAACTGGGGGAAATTGGGGGGAAATGGGGAGAATAGGAAGGAATGGGGATAAATGGGGAAAACGGGGGGGAAATTGGGGGAAAATTGAGGGGAAATGGGGGGTAATTGGATGAATGGGGGAAATGGAGGGAAACTGGGGGGGAAATGGCTCACTGGTTTTGCTCTTGACATCCAAGGCCAGGGCGATGCCCTCATCAATGAACTCCACGACCTTCTGGAAATCCTCCTCACGGAACTGGCGGGAGGTCAGGGCAGGAGCACCTGGGGACAGCGGGGACATCAGGGACAGAGCCCATCAGGGACAGCAGCACTGCAGGGGCACCAGCCCCACAAGGGGCTCCCTCAGTCCCAGACCCCCATGGAGGTCCCTCAGTCACAGATCCTCACGGAGGTCACTGAACCCCAGACCCCCAAGAATCTCCCTCATTCCCAGCCCCCCAAGAAGCTCCTGCCCCCAGACCCCTCACTGGGGCTCCCCAAATTTGAGGACCAAGATGTCCCAAATTCTTCTCCCCACAAGATCCTGCCCCCTTTCCCACCCAAACCCATCCCCAAATTCCCACCCAGACAAGGGAGAAGCATCAGGGGTGAGGCCCCCCAAGAAGCTCCCAGGCCCCAAACCCCTCACTGGGGCTCCCCAAATTTGGGACCAAGAGGTCCAAGAGGTCCCCAGATTCTCCTCCCCCTGAGTCCCTGCCCCTTTCCCACCCAAACCCACCCCCAAATTCCCACTCAGAGAGGGCAGAACCACCTGGGCAGGGTGGGGCTCCCTCATTTCCAGCCCCACAAGAGGATCCCTCATTCCCAGCCCCACAAGAAGCTCCCTGGCCCCAAACCCTTCACTGCACCTCCCCAAGGGCTCCCCAAATTCTCCCCATGAAGACCAGCCCCTTCCCCACCCAAACCCACCCCCAAATTCCCACTCAGAGAGGGCAGAACCAGCAGGGATTAAGCCCCCCAGGCCCCCCAAGGGGTTTCCTCATTCCCAGCCCCACAAGCAGCTCCCAGGCCCCCAAACCCCTCACTGCACCTCCCAAAGGGCTCCCCAAATTCTCCCCCTGAGTCCCTGCCCCCTTTCCCACCCAAACCTACCCCCAAATTCCCACTCAGAGAGGGGCGAGGCAGTGGGGCTGCTGTGGGGTGAGGCCCCCCAGGCCCCTGGGCAGGGTGGGGCTCCTTCATTCCCAGCTCCCCAAGGGGTTTCCTTATTCCCAGCTCCCCAGGCAGCTCCGTGGCCCCCAAACCCCTCACCGCACCTCCCCAAGGGCTCCCCAAATTCTCCCCCTGAGTCCCTGCCCCCCTTTCCCACCCAAATCCACCCCCAAATTCCCCCTCAGAGAGGGCAGAAGCAGCAGGGCAGGGTCTGTCCCTCACCCAGGCGCAGCCCCCCAGGGGTCAGGGCACTCCTGTCCCCTGGGCACGTGTTCTTGTTGGCCGTGATGGACACGAGCTCCAGCACCCGCTCTGCCCGCGCCCCGTCCATGCCCTTGGGCCGCAGGTCCACCAGCACCAGGTGGTTGTCGGTGCCCCCTGGGGAGGGAAGAGAGGGGTGAGGGGTCACGCACGTCTTTTCATGAAAATCCTTTCTTAGGATTTAGTTCTTCCTGAGAAGCTGAGAGGCCTCAGGAACAAAATGTAAGCAATGGTTATCTGCTGCTGTGGGATGCAACAGGGGGAGCTGTGATTGGTCTCGTGTGGATGTTTGGAATTAGTGACCAGTCACGGCAGAGCTGGTTCTCTCTCTCTGTCCGAGCCACAGACCTTTATTTTCATTCCTTTCTATTCTCAGCTTAGCTAGCATTCTGAGATGAAACTTTTCCTTCTATTCTTTTACTATAGTTTTAATGTAATATAATATATATCATAAAATAATAGATCAAGCCTTCTGAAACATGGAGTCAGATCTACGTCTCTTCCCTCATCCAAAGACTCCTGTGACCACTGTCACAGCGAGGGGTCCCTGAGCGCCCCCAGACCCCTCTGCAGGGCCTGGTGTGCGCTGGTGGTTCTGGCTCAGCCTCACTTCTCTGCCCCCCAGTCCTCCTGCTGGCCTGAGACTGGGCAGAGCCACTCGGCCCCACCATGGCTCAGCCTTGTCCCCAGCCATGGGTCACTCTTGTCCCCAGCCATGGCTCAGCCTTGTCCCCAGCCATGGCTCAGCCTTGTCCCCAGCCATGGGTCACTCTTGTCCCCCACCATGGCTCACCCCTCCCTGACCCCAAAAACAGCAGGACTGGAGCACCAGAGTGTCCCTTGTCCCCAAAACTGTGGGGTCAGAGCATTACCTGACACCAGGGTATACCTTGTCCCCACCATGGCTCATCCCTCCTTGTCCCCAAAACCAGCAGGACAGAGCCTCACCTGACACCAGGGTGTACCGTGACCCCAAAACTGACACCAGGGTGTCCCTTGTCCCCACCACAGCTCACCTCTACTTGTCCCCAAAACCAGCAGGACTGGAGCACCAGGACTGGAGCACCTTGTCCCCAAAACTGACACCAAGGTGTACCCTGTCCCCAAAACTGTGGGGTGAGAGCATCACCTGACACCTGGGTGTATCTCATCCCCACTATGGCTCCTCCCTCTTTGACCCCAAAAACAGCAGGACTGGAGCACCAGGGTGTACCTTGACCCCAAAACTGACACCAGGGTGTACCTGGTCCCCAAAACTGTGGGGTCAGAGCCTCACCTGACCCCAGGGTGCACCAGCAGGACAGACAGACAGCCAGACTCACCTGACACCAGGGTGTATCTGGGACAGACAGACAGACTCACCTGACACCAGGGTGTATCTGGGACAGACAGACAGACAGACAGACAGACAGACTCACCTGACACCAGGGTGTACCTGGGATGGACAGACAGACAGACACACAGACAGACTCACCTGACCCCAGGGTGTATCTGGGACAGACAGACAGACAGACACACAGACAGACAGACTCACCTGACCCCAGGGTGTATCTGGGACAGACAGACAGACAGACAGACAGACAGACTCACCTGACCCCAGGGTGTATCTGGGACAGACAGACAGACAGACACACAGACAGACTCACCTGACCCCAGGGTGTATCTGGGACAGACAGACAGACAGACAGACAGACTCACCTGACACCAGGGTGTATCTGGGACAGACAGACAGACACACAGACAGACAGACTCACCTGACACCAGGGTGTACCTGGGATGGACAGACAGACAGACAGACAGACAGACTCACCTGACCCCAGGGTGTATCTGGGACAGACAGACAGACAGACAGACAGACAGACAGACTCACCTGACACCAGGGTGTATCTGGGACAGACAGACAGACAGACAGACAGACGGACAGACAGACTCACCTGACACCAGGGTGTATCTGGGACAGACAGACAGACAGACAGACAGACAGACTCACCTGACCCCAGGGTGTATCTGGGACAGACAGACAGACAGACAGACAGACAGACTCACCTGACCCCAGGGTGTATCTGGGACAGACAGACAGACAGACAGACAGACAGACTCACCTGACCCCAGGGTGTATCTGGGACAGACAGACAGACACACAGACAGACAGACTCACCTGACACCAGGGTGTACCTGGGATGGACAGACAGACAGACAGACAGACAGACTCACCTGACCCCAGGGTGTATCTGGGACAGACAGACAGACAGACAGACAGACAGACAGACTCACCTGACACCAGGGTGTATCTGGGACAGACAGACAGACAGACAGACAGACGGACAGACAGACTCACCTGACACCAGGGTGTACCCTCTCTGCAGCAGTGCCTGTGCCATGGCCTTGGCGTTCCTCAGCACCTGCTGGCAGTACTGCCTGAAGGCCGGGGAGCTGGCCTGGGGACAGGGACACCGTCACCATGGGGGGACCTCAAAACCCCAACAGAACAGGGGACACCACTGGCGTGGGGACACCCCAATAGGACAGGGGACACCCCATAGCACAGGGGACACCCCAATAGGACAGGGGACACCCCTACAGGATAGGGGGGACACCCCAACACCCCATAGGACAGGAGACACCCCATCAGCATGGGGACACCCAATAGCACAGGGGGACACAGGGGGCACACCCCATAGCACAGGGGACACCCCAACACCCCATCAGCATGGGGGACACCCCATAGCACAGGAGAAACCTCATAGCACAGGGGGACACCCCATAGCACTGGGGACACCCCATAGACACCCCAACACCCCACAGCACATGCGGGACCACCCCACAGCACAGGTGACACCCCATAGCACAGGGAACACCCCAACACCCCATCAGACCAGGGGACACCCCATAGCACTGGGGACACCCCATACCACAGGGGACACCCCAACACCCCAGGGGGGACACCCCATAGCACAAGGGGGGCACATGGGACACCCCACAGCACGGGGGGACACACAGGACACCCCATAGCACAAGGGGGACACCCCAATACTCCATAGCACAGGGGGGACACCCCATCAGGACAGGGGGACACCCCAACACCCCATCGTGGGGGGGGACACCCCATCAGCCTGGGGACACCCCACAGCACAGGGGGGACACCCCATCAGGGCAGGGGGGTCAGCCCATAGCACAGGGCGACACCCCATAGAAGAGAGGGGACACCCCATAACTACAGGGGACACCCCACAGCACAGGGGACACCCCAACAGGACAGGGGGGGCACAGGACAGCCTACAGCAGAGCGGGGACACCCCAACACCCCACCCCACGGCACAAGGGGCACACAGGACACCCCCTCCCCAGCCCAGACCTGCTTGAGGGCCACGGCCACGGCAGCGATGGCGTGGTTGTGGGGTCCCCCCTGCAGCGAGGGGAACACGGAGAAGTTGATCCTGTCCTCCAGGTCGTAGAGCGTCTCCTTGCCCGTCTTCTTGTCCACGGAGCGCACGCCCTTGCGGTAGAAGATCAGCCCTGACCTGGTGGCAAGGGGACACTGTCACCTCCGCTGCCTGGGGGGACATTCTGGGGGCTCCTTCATTCCCAGACCACCAAGGGGCTCACAGGATCCCAAACCCCCATGGGGGTCCCTCAGTCGCAGCCCCCCAGAGGGGGTCCTTGGGTCCCAGCCCCTCACTGGGGCTCTTTCATTCCCAGCCCCCCAAAGAGCTCACAGGGTCTCAGCCCCACAAGGGGGTCCCTGGGTCCCAGCCCCCCAAGGGGCTCCTTCAGTCCCAGCCCCATAAGGGGGCCCCTCATTCCCAGCCCCCAAAGGGCTCACAGCCCCCCAAGAAGCTCCTTCATTCCCCACCCCCAAGGGGGATCCCACATTCCCAGCCCCCCAAGGGACTCCCTGAGCCCCAGCCCCCCAAAGGGGTTCCCTCATTCCCAGCCCCACAAGGAGCTCATGGGGTCCCAGCCCCACAAAGGGCTCCCTGAGCCCCAGACCCCCATGGTGGTCCCTGAATCTCTGCCCCCCAAGGGGGTCCCTGAGTCCCTGACCCCCAAGGGGGTCACAGGGTCCCAGCCTGGGGCATTTTGGGGTCCCCTTAGGGTGCACCCGGGGCTCCCTGGGGCTCTTTGGGGTCCCAGCCCCCCAAGAAGGTCCCTCATTCCCAGCCCCTCACTGAGGCTCTTTCATTCCCAGCCCCCCAAGGGGGTCCCTCATTGCCAGCCCCACAAGAGGCTCACAGGGTCCCAGCCTGAGGCACTTTGGGGTCCCCTTGGGGTGCAGCTGGGGCTCCCTGGGGTCCCAGATCCCCAAGGGGCTCCCTCATTCCCAACCCCTCAAGAAGCTCCTGGGATCCCAGCCCTTCAAGGGGCTCACAGGGTCCCAGACCCCCAAAAAGCTCCCAGAGTCCCAGCCCCCCAAGGGGGTCCTTCAGTCCCAGCCCCCCAAGGGGGTCACAGGGTCCCAGCCTGGAGCACCTTGGGGTCCCCTTGGGGTGCACCTGGAGCTCCCTGGGGCTCTTTGGGGTCTCAGCCCCCCAAGGGGCTCCCTGAATCCCCCAGTCCCAGCTCCCCAAGGGGCTCCTTCAGTCCCGGCCCCTCAGGGGCTCCCTGAATCCCTGAGTCCCCCAAGGGGGTCCCTCATTCCCAGCCCCCCAAGGGGCTCATAGGTCCCAGACCCACAAGGGGGTCCCTCATTCCCAGCCCCCCAAATGGCTCCTTCAGTCCCAGCCCCCCATGACGCTCCTCAATTCCCATGGTGGTCCCTCATTCCCAGCCCCAAAGGGGCTCCCTGAATCCCTCATTCCCAGCCCCCCGAGGATCTCCCTGATTCCCAGCCCCCCAAGGGGCTCTCAGGGTCCCACCCCCTCCCATGGGGGTCCCGGGGGTCCCACCTGGCCCCCCGCAGCGTCTTGTGCGTGGTGCTGGTGACGACGTCCGCGTGCTCGAAGGGGGACGGGATCACCTTGGCGGCCACCAGCCCGCTGATGTGGGCCATGTCTGCCAGCAGGTAGGCCTTGACCTCGTCACACACCTGGGGGGGACACCCACGGGGGTCACCTGCTGTCCCCAGAGACCCCTAGGACCTCCCAGGACCCCCAGAGCCCCCCAGGACCCCCCCTTATCCTCCTGATGCGGGTGTAGTTGATGAGGTGGGGGACCTACCTGGGGACACCCACCGGGGTCACCCACCTGGGGACACCCTGGGGACACCCACCAGGGTCACCTGCTGTCCCCAGAGCCCTCCTGAGTCCCCCAGGACCCCCAGAGCCCCCCAGAGCCCCCCTGATGCAGGCATAGTCAATGAAGTGGGGGACACCCACCTGTGACACCCACCGGGGTCACCCACCTGGGGACACCCTGGGGACACTGACCAGGGACACCCACGGGGGTCACCTGCTGTCCCCAGAGCCCCCAGGACCCCCCCTCACCCTCCTGATGTGGGTGCAGTCGATGAGGCGGGAGACACCCACCAGGGACACCCATTGGGGACACTCACCTGGGGACACCCACCAGGGTCACCTGCTGTCCCCAAAGCCCCCCTGAGCCCCCCAGGACCCTCCTGAGCCCCACAGGACCCTCCTGAGACCCCCAGAGCCCCCCCAGGACCCCTCCTCACCCTCCTGATGCGGGCGTAGTCGATGAGGCGGGCGTAGGCGCTGGTGCCCGCGATGATCAGGCGGGGACGGAACAGACGCGCCGTCACCTCCAGCTGGGCATAGTCAATGAGGCCTGTGGTGGGCTGGGACGGACAGACGGACGGACAGACAGGTCAGACGGACGAGGGAGGGACAGACAGGTCAGAGAGACCAGGGATGGACAGGTCAGTCAGTCCAAGGACAGACAGACAGACAGGTCAGACAGACAGGTCAGTCAGCCCAGGGATGGACAGACAGGTCAGACAGACCAGGGAGGGACAGACGGGTCAGTCAGAGCCCAAGGACAGACAGACACATTGGTCAGTCAGTTCTGGGATACACAGACAGACAGACAGACAGACAGGTCAGTCAGTACAGCGACAGACAGACACACACATTGGTCAGTCAAGGAACAGGCAAACAGGTCAGTCAGTGAAGGGATGGACAGACAGACAGATTGGTCAGTCCAAGGACAGACAGAGAGGTCAGTCAGTCCATGGACAGACAGAGAGGTCAGTCAGTCCATGGACAGACAAACAGACAGACAGATCAGTCAGCCCAAGGACAGACAGACAGGTCAGTCAGCCCAGGGAGAGACAGACAGGTTAGTCAGTCCGGGGATGGACAGACATACAGACAGGTCAGTCAGCCCAGGGACAGACAGACAGACAGACAGGTCACCCTGGTGACACCCTGGGCTCCCCCCAGCCCCTCCCTGCCCCCAGCTCACATCCAGCTTGTAGGGCATGGACTCGAAGAAGATGGAGGTGGCCGAGATCCGCTTGGTGTCCGTCATGTAACCGTGGGTGAGGCTGGGAAGGGAATGGGGATAAAATAAATGGAGGGGAAAAAAAATAAAATTGGGGATAAAATCATGGGATAAAATGGGGATAACATGGGGAAAAATGCGGATGAAATGGGGATAATGTGGGGAAAAAATGGGGGGGAAATGCAGAAAAATGGGGGGAAATGGGGGGAAAATGGGGGGAAAATAATGGGATATTCAGGGCAGTTGGAAAGAAAGGCTGGGCCTGGGAAAATATTAGGGTAGGCCCTGGGAAGATGTTCCCTCAATTCCCAACTCCCCCCAATTCCCCAGTTCCCCAATTCCCAGCTCCCCATGTACATCCCAATTCCCCCAATTTCTAATTCCCCTATCCCCAAACCCCCAATCCCCAAACCCCCAATCCTCAATTCCCCAATCCCCCATTCCCCCAATTCCCAACTCCCAATCCCCAAACCCCCCAGTTCCTACACACTGGCCCCCATCGGGCAGGTCCAATTCCCCAATTCCCAATCCCCAAATCCCCAGTTCTCAATTTCCCCAATTCCCCATTCTCAATTCCCCCAATTGCCAGTTCCCCATGTACTGGTCCTACATCCCAATTCCCCCAATTCCCCAATCCCCCAATCCTCAATCCCCCAATTCCCAATCCCCCACATACTGGCCCCCATTGGGCAGGTCCATTCCCCCAGTTCCCGAATCCCCCAATCCCCAATTCCCAATCCCCCAACTCCCAATCCTCAATCCCCCCAAACCCAAAACCCCCCAATTCCCTACGCACTGGCCCCCATTGGGCAAGTCCACTTCCCCAAACCCCAAATCCCAATCCTCCAACCCCAAAACCCCCCAAATCCCCCCTTACTGTCCCCCGTCGGGCAGGTCCAGCCCCATCAGGCGCTCGTGGGGCTGCAGCAGGGCCGTGTAGGCCGCCAGGTTGGCCGGGGAGCCCGAGTAGGGCTGGACATTGACGCCCCAGCGTGCAGGGTCCAGGTCAAATGCCTCCAGAGCCCTCTGCTCGCACAGCAGCTCGATCTGGTCCACCACCTCGGCACCCCCGTAGTACCTGGGGACAGCACAGGGTCACCATTGCCACCCTGACCCCATGGGAGTGATCTGATCCATAGGACCACCTTGGCACCACCATAGTGCCTGGGGACAGGACAGGGACACCAGGGGTCACCAAGGGGTCCCCAGTGCCATTCTGACCCCATAGGAGTGACCTGATCCATGGGACCACCTTGGCATCCCCATAGTGCCTGGGGACACCACAGGGTCACCAGGGCCACCCTGACCCCATGGGAGTGACCCTGATTCACCACCTCGGCAACCCCATAGTACCTGGGGACACCAGGGGGTCACCAGGGGTCCCCAGCGCCATTCTGACCCTATAGGAGTGATCTGATCCATCACCTCGGCACCCCCATGGTACCTGGGGTCACCAGGGGGTCCCCAGTGCCAGCCCCAGCCCCATAGGAGTGACCTGATCCATGGGACCACCTTGGCACCACCATAGTACCTGGGGACAGCACAGGGTCACCAGCGCCAGCCTCACCCCATAGGAGTGACTTGATCCATCACCCTGGCTCCCCCATAGTGCCTGGGGACAGCACAGGGACACCAGGGGTCACCAGGGCCACCCTGACCCCATTGGAGTGACCTGATCCACCACGTCGGCACCCCCATAGTGCCTGGGGACAGCACAGGGACACCAGGGGGTCACCAGGGGGTCCCCAGTGCCGCCCTGACGCTATAGGAGTGACCTGATCCACCACCTCAGCACCCCCGTGGTACATGGGGACACCAGGGGGTCACCAGGGGGTCCCCACTTGTTGCGTTGTGATTTCAGGGTTTACCTCAGAACCTCGGGTCCCTCCCCTGATCATTCCCTGCCAGGTGTGTCAGACACCTCTCCTTTCCCCTCCCAGCACTGTCTGTCAGTCCTGGCATTCCAGAATTGGCAGATTCAAAGGATGGCCTCTACCCCTGGAGGACATTGGGCCATCCAGGTGTCCTTTGTCCCTTTGTCCCTCCCCTCCTGTACCTGGCTGGTGGCTCCCTGCCCCTTCCCTCCCCTCTCCCCGGGGTTAAAGGAACAGCAACCACGGGGTCGGGGAGTTCTGTTGGAGCTGTTGCTGCATTCAGAGTGGGCCGGAATAAAGCTCTGGATCCAAACCCTCCATCAGAACCGACTCCTTTTCTTCATCATCAACTTAAAGCTTCTCCACCATAGTAAACCTGAGCTCCTGCACGCCTGGACTCGTCTCCAAGGGCTCAGCTGCAGCATCTAGCCAGCCAAAAGTGCTTTTGGGGTGAAATCACCACAGTTGCTGCCTTTTGGTTCAGCACCAAGGGCCAGACAAGCTCAGGCACGCCCTGTCCAGCAATATTGGTAATATTGCAATACCCACTGCCAGCCTGACCCCACAGGAGTGATCTGATCCACCACCTTGGCACCCCCATAGTTCCTGGGGACACCAGGGGGTCACTGTGATATTTTCTGGAAACTCCTCTTTGCCCAAGGTGGATCTGTTGAGGCCTCTTAATAAATCCCCATTTATTCCTTAGCTCTGTTCTAGGGCAGCCCACACAAGGCATCACCAGGAGCCCCCAGCCCATCCCTGGGTGTCTCCTGAACCCCAGTGCCCCCCAAGCCCACCCCCCACTTTACCTCTTCCCAGGATACCCCTCTGAGTATTTGTTGTTCAGGCAGGAGCCCAGGGCCTCCAGAGCTGCCCGGCTGCAGAAATTCTGGGGGGGGAAAAATGGATGGGAATTAGAGCAGGCAAACCCCCAAAAACAGGGGGTACCCCAAGTATGAGCCCACCCTATGGGCAGGGACCAAGGCTGGAGACTTTGGGATGGACAGGGGGGACACACAACACCAGGATGGGGGTGAGCAGGAGGATGGGATGGAATTGAGACCCCCAGGGATGATGGAGGGTGGAGGAAGGGGCACACAGGGGGCACTGGGACCCTCCCAGTGGGGACAGGGATGGGAATCAGAGCAGCCAAACCCCAAAAACAGGGGGTACCCCAAGCCTGAGCCCACCCTGTGGAGGGACCAAGGCTGGTGGTGGTGGCTGTCACAGCCCTGAGGACTTTGGGATGGACAGGGGGGTCGGGGGGGACACACAACACCAGGATGGAGGTCCTGGTGATCAGCCAGGGGTGAGGAGGAGGATGGGATGGAACTGGGACCCCCAGGGATGATGGAGGTCGGGGAAGGGGCACACAGGGGGAGAACAGGGGCACCAGGATCCCCCCAGTGGGGACTGGGACAGGGATGGGAATCAGAGCAGCCAAACCCCCCTAAACAGGAGGTACCCCAGGCCCAACCCCACCCCTTCCCAACCCCCCAACCCCACCCCAACCCTTCCCAATCCCCCAAAATCCCAACCCCACCCCTTCCCAACCCCCCCAAGTCCCACCTTCACCCCTTCCCAAGCCTCCAAAACCAAACCAAACCAAACCCAACCCAAACCCTTCCCAACCCCTCCAGCCCCAACCCCATCCCTGCCCAAGCCCCCCAAACCTGACCCCACCCCTCCCCACGCCCCCAGCCCCACCTCGGACGCGATGAGCTCCAGTCCCCGGCACTGCCGATCCTTCTCCTTCTGCAGGAGGCTCCAGAGCTCGGGGTCGCTCTGGGCCAGGCTCTCCTGGCCCGTCCAGCCCGGGCAGTGCCCGGGGGCAGCGGCGGCGGCGGCTCCGTGCTGTGCCCGCAGGGTGCCCGTGCCCAGCCGGGACCCCCAGCGCTGCAGGGTCTGCAAATGGGGAGGGGGACACGGTGAGAGACCCCTTGGGACCCCCGGGGCTGCAGGGTCTGAAAATGGGGAGGGGGACAAGGTGTGAGACCCCCTGGAGCCCCCCAGAATGGAAATGGGGAGGGGGACACAAGGTGTGAGACCCCCTGGGACCCCCAGCCCTGCACGGAAATGGGGAGGGGGACAAGGTGTGACCCACTCGGGCCCCCCAGTGCTGCAGGGTCTGAAAATGGGAATGGGGAGGGGGCACATGGGGCAGATGGGGACCCCAAGGAACCCATGGGGGCACGGGGACCCCCCCAGGCTCCACACAGGGTGCATGGGGACCCCAAGGGGCACATAGGGACCACAGGGACCCTACAAGGCCCATGGGAACCCCAAGGAGCCCATGGGGACCCCAATGACACTTTGGGGCACATGGGGACCCCCCTAAGATCCACACAGGGTGCATGGGGACCCCAAGGGGCACACAAGGACCACAAGGACCCCAGGGGGCACATGGGGACCCCCACAGGCTCCACACAAGGTGCATGGGGACCCCAAGGAGTCCACGAGGACCCCAAGGACCCTACAGGGACCCCAAGGACCCCACAGGGTGCATGGGGACCCCCCAAGCTCCACACAGGGCACTAGGGGGACCCCAGGGGGCACATGGGGACCCCAAGGACCCCACAAGGCACATGGGGAACCCCCTCTCGTTGTGCCGGTGGGGGGATCCCCCCCCCGGTGCCCCCCGGTGCTCGGGACCCCCCCTTGTTGTGGATCCCCCCGTGCCCACCCGCGGTGCCCCCGGTTCCCGGGTGATGTAACCGCGGCCGCCCCATTGCATCACCCGCGGGGCCGCGGGCACCGGGCAGGGGCCAAGGCCGGGGGTGGCGGGGCCGGGACCGGCCCCGGGGACTTTGGGACCGACACAAAGTCCGTGAGGGAGCGGGGGGGGGACCGGGCCGGGTTATGGGGGGGCAGCACACGGTACCGGGATGAGGGTCCCGGTACCGGGATGGGGGGGGGGTCCCGTTACCGGGATGGGGGTCCCGGTGCTCAGAGGGGAGGAAGAGGAGCGGGATGGAATTGAGACCCCTCCGGAACGAAGGGGGACACTGAGGGGGAACGGGGGTACCGCGACAACCCCCGCCGGTAACGGGGAGCGGGACCCCCCCACACCGGGGACTGGGACCCCTGTGAGCACCGGGAGCCATCGGGAATGGGACCTGTTTGGGGTCTGGGCTGCCCGTGCACCGGGAGCCCCCGGTGCGTGTCCCCCAACCGTGTACCGGATACCGGGACTGTCCCGCCGAGTACCGGGACCCCTGTGAGCACCGGGAGCCACCGGGAACGGGACCCAGGACCCGTTTGGGGTCCGGGACACTCCCTCCGGTCACCGGGACTTTCTGTGCAGCGGGAGCCACCGGGGGATGCGGGAACCGGGGATCCGAACCGGGAACCGGGGATCCTATCCCGGGGATCCTTCCCGGGAACTGGGGTTCATTACTGGGGATCCTCACCGGGGATCCTTACCGGGAACCGGGGATCATTATCGGGAACCCTTACCGGGAACCGGGGATCATTACCGGGGATTATTACCGAGATCCTTACCGGGAACCGGGGATCCTTACCGGGAACTGGGGATCCTTACCGGGATCCTTACCGGGAACTGGGGATCGTCACTCGGGACCATTACCGTGAACCCTTACCGGGGATCTTTACCGGGAACCCTTACCGGGAACCAGGGATTCTTACCGGGGATCATTACCGGGATCCATCCCGGTAACCGGACCCCCCCCCGCACCCCGGCCCGGTCCCGTTCCCGTTCTCACCGTGCCCAGCCGGAGCGGCCACATCTCGCCCAGCGCCGCACGTGGGTCCGGCCGGGTCCCGGTTCCCGGTCCCGGTCCCGGTCCCGGCCCCCTCCTGGCCCCGCCCCCACGCGCGCGCTGCCGGGAGGGCGGAGCCACCGGGGCCGCGGGGGCCGACGGGAAAGGGGAGGGGAGAGACCTCCCCCACCCCCCCAAAACCGGGGTCAGCCCGGTACCTGCACCCCCACCCCCGAATTTTGGGGTCCCCCATCTTTGCACTCCCCCAATCCCCAATTTTGGGGTCCCTGCTCCTCCATCCCAAATTTTGGGGTCCCTATCCCTAATTTTGGGGTCCCTGCACCCCCATCCCCAATTTTGGGGTCCCCATCCCGAATTTTGGGCCCCGATCTCTGCACTCCCCATCCCGAATTTTGGGGTCCTTGCACCCCCCATCCCGAATTTTGGGGTCCCCCACCCTTAATTTTGGGGTCCTCCATCCCAAATTTTGGGGTCCCCCGTCCTTGCACCCCCCATCCTTAATTTTGGGGTCCTCCATCCCTAATATTGGGGTTCCCCATTCTTAATTTTGATCCCCTATCCCTGCACTCCCCCATCCCTAATTTTGGGGTCCCCCATCCTTCCACCTTCCCTATCCCTAATTTTGGGGTCCCCCATCCCGAATTTTGGCCCCCAATCCCTGCACCCCCATCCGTAATTTTGGGACTCCCCATCCATGCACCCCCATCCTAATTCTGGGGTCCCCCTTCTTTCCACCCCCCTATCCCTAATTTTGGGGTCCCTCAACATTCCACCCCCATATCCCTAATTTTGGGGTCCCCCATCCTTGCACCCCCCATCCCTAATTTTGGGGTCCCCCATCCTTGCACCTCCATTCCTAATTTTGGGATTTTGCGCCCCCCATCCTTAATTTTGGGGTCCTTTTACCCCCCATCCCCAATTTTGGGGTCCTTCCACCTCCATCCCCAATTTTAGGGTCCCCATCCTTGCACCTCCCTTCCCCAATTTTGGGGTCCCCATCCCGAATTTTGGGTTCCTTTCATCTCCACCCCTAATTTTGGGGTCCCTGCACCCTCATCCCTAATTTTGGGATCCTCACACACCCCATCCCTAATTTTGGGGTCCCCCATTCTTGCATTCCCATCCTTAATTTTAGGGTCCCCCACCCCGAATTTTGGGGTCCCCCCTCCTCGCTCTCCCCCACCCCCATTCATGGCAGGACCAACAAACTCCTTTTTTATTTTCCCAGCCTTTTTTTTTCTTTATTTTCCACTTTTTTTCCATTTTCATTTTCTTTACAAAAAAAACCCCAAAAACCCCAAAAAGATGCAGAAGAAGCCCCCGAGAGGAGGGGGCACAAGGACTGAGACCCCCCCCCAAAAGCACCCACATGTGCCCCCCCTGTGCCCCCCCAAAGCTGGCATCGCCCCCCAGTGCCCCCCAAGCATGGGGGGATCCCCCCAGCTGCATTTGGGGGGGTCTCGATGGGTGGGGAGGGGTCTCAGTGGTTTGGGGGGGGGGGGGGTCGGGACCCCCAGCACCAGTTGTACCCAATGAGGGGGGGGGCAGAGGTGGAGTTTTGGGGGGTTTTGGGGGGGGTCTCAAGGGGTTTTGGGGGGTGAAGGGAGGGGTCTCAAGGGGTTTTGGGGGTCCGGGATTCCCAGTGTTGCAATGATGGGGTGTCGGTGGGGGAAGGGGCTGGGACCCCCAAAAACAGGTGTACCCCAATGATGGGGTCTCAATGGGGGACCCCAAAAAAAATGTGTACTCCAATGGTGGGGTCTCTGGGGTGGAAGAGACCCCCAAAACAAGGTGTACCCCAGAACAGGGGGCTGCAGTGCTGGGGTCTCAATGGAGGATCCCCGAAACCAGTTGTACCCCAATGATAGGTCTCAATGGGGGACCCCAAAACAAGGTGTACCCCAATGATGGGGTCTCTGGGGTGGGGGACCTCAAAAACGGGGGTACCCCAGAATGAGGGGCTGCAGTGCTGGGGTCTCAATGGGTGACCCCCAGAACAGATGTACCCCAATGATGGGGTCTCAGGAGGTGGAGGGGTCTCAATGGGGGACCCCCAAAATCAGATGTACCCCAATGATGGGGGGGGTGCAGTGCTGGGGTCTCAGTGAGGACCCCCAGAACTGGCTGTACACTAGTTATGGGTCTCAGGGGATGGAGGGGACCCCCAAAAAGAGGTGTACCCCAGAATAGGGGGCTGCACTGATGGGGTCTCAGTGAGTGGGTGGGACCTCCAGGACAGGCGTACCCCTATTATGGGGTTTAAGGGGGTGGAAGGGGCCCCCCCCAAAAAAAGGTGTACCCCAGAATGGGGGGCTGCAGTGATGGGTCTCAGGAAGTGGAGGGGACCCCCAGAACTGCCTGTACCCCAATTATGGGGTCTCAAGGGATGGAGAGGACCCCCAGAACAGGGGTACCCCAGGTATGTGGGGCTGCAGTGATGGGGTCTCAATGGGGGATCCCCAAAAACAAGTGTATCCCAATTATGGGATCTCCGGGCATAGAGGGGACCCCAAAACAAGGTGTACCCCAATGATGGGGTCTCAATGGGGGACCCCAAAAAAATGTGCACCCCAATTATGGGGTCTCTGGGGTGGAAGAGACCCCCAAAACAAGGGGTACCCCAGAACAGGGGGCTGCAGTGCTGGGGTCTCAATGGAGGATCCCCAAAAACAGATGTACCCCAATGATAGGTTTCAATGGGGGACCCCAAAACAAGGTGTACCCCAATGATGGGGTCTCAGGGGTGGAGGGGACCCCCCAAAAAAGGTGTACCCCAGGGATGGGGGCTCAATGGGGACCCTCAGAGCAGGTGTACCCCAATGATGGGGTCTCTGGGGTGGAAGGGACCCCCAAAAAAAGGTGTACCCCAGAATGGGGGGCTGCAGTGATGGGTGTCAATGGGGGATCTCCAAAAGCAGATGTACCCCAATGATGGGTCTCAACAGGGGACCCCCAGAACAGGTGTACCCCAATTATGGGGTCTCAGGGGATGGAGGGGCCCCCCAAAAACAGATGTACGCCAGGGATGGGGGTCTCAGGATTGGAGGGGACCCAAAAAAAAAGGTGTACCCTAGAATAGGGGGCTGCAGTGCTGGGGTCTCAATGGGGGACCCCCAAAACAGGTGTACCCCAATTATGGGGTCCCAGTGGGTGGGTGGGACCCCCAGAACTGCCTGTACCCCATTGTGCTGCAGGGCTGGGATGTCATTTCTGGGTGGACCCCACAAACCCCGGCCCCAACTGAGCCCCAATGATGGAACAGCTTTGGGTGGGGTCCAGGACCCCCAGCACCAACTGTCCCACAACCCAGCATGGAGTGATGAAGAGGAGGCTGCAGAGGGGGTGACAGGGACCCCCAAATGCCACCAAACCCCCCTGCCCCGCTGCCGTCAGCCAAAATAGGGATTTTCTTGCTGGAAGTTGTAACCTTCTGCACCAGCTTGTAGTCGATGCTGAGGAAGGAGATGAAGATGCAGATGGCCTTGAAGGGCTTGGAGTGATGAAGAGGAGGCTGCAGTGGGGGTGACGAGGTGCCAAGTGCCACCAAAGTGCCACCAAACCCCCCCTGTCCTGCTGCCATCAGCCAAAATTGGGATTTTCTTGCTGAAAATGGGAGTTTTCCTGCTGGAAGTTGTAGTTGGGACAGACCTTCTGCACCAGCTTGTAATCGATGCTGAGGAAGGAGATGAAGATGCCGATGACCCTGAAGGTCACAGTGGTGAAGAGGAGGCTCCTGTGGGTGCCACCAAATCCGGCCCTGTTCCCGCTGCCATCAACCAAAATTGGGATTTTCCTGCTGGAAGTTGTAGTCAGGACAGACCTTCTGCACCATCGATGCTGAGGAAGATGAAGATGCAGAAGACCTTGAAGGTCACAGTGATGAAGAGGAGGAGAAAAGGCTCCTGTGGGTGCCACCAAAACCCTGCCCCACTGCCATCAGCCAAAATAAGGATTTTCCTGCTGGAAGTTTTAGTCAGGACAGACCTTCTGCACCAGCTTGTAATTGATGCTGAGGAAGGAGATGAAGATGCAGATGACCCTGAAGGTCACAGTGATGAAGAGGAGGAGAGGAGGCTCCTGTGGGGGTGACAGGGAACCCCAAACCCCGTCTGTCCCGCTGCCATCAGCCAAAATAGGGGTTTTCCTGCTGGAAGTTGTAGTCGGGACAGACCTTCTGCAGCATTGATGCTGAGGAAGGAGATGAAGACACAGAAGACCTTGAAGGTCGCCGTGATGAAGAGGAGACCCCCAATTGCTACCAAATCCACTGCCCCACTGCCATCAACCAAAAGAAGGATTTTGGTTGTAGTCGGGACAGACCTTCTGCACCAGCTTGTAGTCAAGGAAGGAGATGAGGATGCAGATGACCTTGAAGGTTAGAGTGATGAAGAGGAGGCTCCTGTGGGTGTGACAGGGACCCTGAAGTGACACCAAAGCGCCACCAAAACCCCTCCTGCCCTGATGCCATCAGCCAAAATAGGGGTTATCCTGCTGGAAGTTGTAGTCGGGACAGACCTTCTGCACCAGCTTGTAGTCGATGCTGAGGAAGGAGATGAAGATGCAGATGACCTTGAAGGGCTTGGAGCAGAGCCAGGCCGCGTGGCTCTGCGTGTGCTCGGTGAAGCAAACCTTGGAGGGATCGTAGAGGCACGGCTTGTTCTTCCTGGCCCTGTTGGTTTTCTCGTACTCCACGTGGCAGTTGAGCGCCTTGGCCGGGCGCCCCTCGGGCAGGGTGCTCTGCTGGGCACGCAGAGCCGGCCCTGGCAGGGCTGGCACCACCACCTCGAAGCCCACGGCCTTGGAGGGCGGCACGATGCTGACGGAGACGTTGCCCAGGCTGGAGGAGTTGTGTCTGAAGTAAACGCTGAAGGTGCCGTTGATGTGGTCGACGATCTTGCCCGTCACCAGGAGGCTGAACTTGAGCGTTTTGATGTTGAAGTAGAAATCGCCCCAGCCGAAAATCTTCTTGGCGCGGCTGGATTTGAGGCTGGGCTTGCGGTGGGCGCGGGGGTTCGGGGCTTCCAGGGATGTTTGGTTCTTCTGCCAGTGCCAGGGGCTGTGGGAGGTGCCAGCCGGGACCCCCGTGCCCACCCTGGGGGGCTCTGCCGGGATCAGGTGCCCGGGGTTGAGCGCTGGGGGGTTCAGGGCGCCGTAGGGCACGTCCTTGAGGAGGGCTGAGGTGCCCATCTCCAGGTAGCCCAGGGCTTTGGGGAGGTGGCCGCCGGCACACACGGTCTGGGGAGAGGGGAGAGGGCGTGAGATGTGCTGGTGGCCTTCCTCACTCTGCCTGTGCCCTCCTCATCCTCTCCCTGCTTCTCCCTCCTCATCCTCCTGCATGCACCCTGCTCATCCTCCTACCTACAGCCCCCTCCTCATCGTCCTTCCTGCACCCTCCTCATCCTCCCACCTGAACCCTCCTCATCCTCCTGCACGCACCCTGCTCATCCCTCTGCCTGCACCCTCCTCATCCTCCCACCTGAACCCTCCTCATCCTCCTGCACACACCCTGCTCATCCCTCTGCCTGCGCCCTCCTCATCCTCCACCTGCTCCTCCTTCCTCATCTTCTGCCTACAGCCCCTTCCTCGTCCTTCTGTCTGAACCCTCCTCATCCTCCTACCTGCAGCGCCTTCCTCGTCACTCTGCCTCATCCTCCTCATCCTCTCCTGCACCCTCCTCATCCTCTCCTGCACCCTCCTCATCCTCCTGCATACAGCACCTTCCTCTCCTCTACCTGCTCCTCCCTCCTCTTCCTCCCACCTGAACCCTCCTGATCCTTCTGCCTCCACCTTCCTCATCCTCCTGCACGCACCCTCCTCATCCTCCTACCCACAGCCCCTTCCTCATCCCTCTGTCTGCACCCTCCTCATCTCCTGCCTGCACCTTCCTCATCCTCCCACCTGAACCCTCCTCGTCACTCTGCTGCACCCTCCTCATCCTCTACCTGCTCCTCCCTCCTCATCCTCCTACCTGAACCCTCCTCATCCTCCTACCTACAGCCCCTTCCTCATCCCTCTGCCTGCACCCTCCTCATCCTCCTTCCTGCATCCTCCTTGTCCTCTCCCTACTCTCCCTTCTCCTCCTCCTTCCTCTCTTCCATCCTCATCCTCTCTCCTGCACCCTCCTCCTCCTCCTTCCTGCACCCTCCTCATCCTCCTACCTACTCCTCCCTCCTCTTCCTCTCACCTGAACCCTCCTTATCCTCCTACCGACAGCCCCTTCCTCATGCCTCTGCCTACCCCTCCTCATCCTCTTACCTACTTCTCCATCCTCATCGTCTCACCTGAACCCTCCTCACCCCTCTGTCTGCACCCTCCTCATCCTCTCCCACCCCCTCCCTCCTCATCCCCTGCATCCTCTCCATCCTCTTACCTACTTCTCCCTCCTCTTCCTCCCACCTGAACCCTCCTCATCCTCCTGCCTGCACCCTCTTCATCCTCCTACCTACAGCCCCCTCCTCACCCTCCTTCCTGCAGCCTCCTCATCCTCTCCCACCTCCTCCCTCCTCATCCTCCCCCCCTGCACCAGCTGGGCTGGGACCAGAGGCTCCATCTCCGAGTTCCCCCCCTGTCCCTGGCACTGCCACCAGCGCTCAGATCCAGCTGCCTGCCCCAGCTCGGTGCCCTCTCCTCATCCTCGCGGGGTGCCCGCCGTGCCCTCGTGCCCCCATCCTCTTCCTCCCACCTGCACCCTCCTCATCCTCCTGCCTGAACCCTGCTCATCCTCCTGCATGCACCGTGCTCATCCTCTTTCCTGCACCCTCCTCATCCTCCTTCCTCCTTCTCCTTCCTCCTCCTCTCCCACCTCTTACCTCCTCATCAGGGGCCTTCACCCTCCTCATCCTCCTTCCTCCTTCTCCCTCCTCCTCCTCTCCCACCTCTTACCTCCTCATCAGGGGCCTTCACCCTCCTCATCCTCCTTCCTGCACCCTCCTCATTCTCCTGCATACAGCCCCCTCCTCATCCCTCTGTCTGCACCCTCCTCATCCTTCTACCTAGAGCCCCCCTCCTCACCCTCCTTCCTCCTCCCTCCTCACCCTCCTTCCTCCTCCCTGCTCATCCTCTCCCTCCTGCACCAGCTGGGCTGGCACCGCACCATCCCCTCCCCTGTCCCTGGCACTGCCACCAGCGCTCAGATCCAGCTGCCAGCCCCAGCCCGGGCCCCCACCCCTGTCCCTCACCCCGGTGCCCCCTCCTCATCCTCGCGGGGTGCCCGCCGTGCCCTCGTGCCCTGCCAGCTGCCGCGGCAGCCCCGGGCTCGTCAATCACTGTCACCCGGAGCTGCTCGGGGTCACCTGGAGCCCCGCAGGGGGAGCGGGGAGGGGGAGATGGGCACGGGCACCAGCTGGAGGGGCTGGAGGGGCTGGAAAATCGAGGTATGATCACGGAATGGCTCCTGACATTGCTGGGGGTGATGCTGGCATCATGGCTCTAAAATATTTTTTTATTTTATAAAATAAAATATTAATTTTAATATTAATTTTTAAAATATCATCAAAATAAATATAATAGAAATTATATAATAAAAATATAATTTTTTATAAAATAAAATATTAATTTAATACAAATTTTAAAATATCATCGAAATAAATATAATACAAATTATATAATAAAATATAGATTTTATAAAATAAAATATTAATTTTAATATCCATTTAAATATAATAAAATATATAATATATAAATATTAAAAATATATTAAAATATAATTTAAAATATAATAGAATAAAATAAATATATTATAAATAAATAAATAAAGATTATATAAAAATAAAATAAAATTATATAATAAAAATATTGATTTTATAAAATAAAAATATTAATTTATAAAAGAAATAATTTGATTTTTTAAAGGAGGAGCAGGATGGCTCTAAAATAATTTTTTAAATTTTATGAAATGAAAGATTAATTTTGATATTAATTTTAAAAAATAGAATCAAAATAAATATAATAAAAGAATATAATAAAATATTAATTTTATAAAATAAAATAATTTATAAAAGAAATTATTTTATTCGAGATTATTTTATTTTTAAAGGATCTACAATAAAGATTATTTTCTTTTTTAAAGGAGGAGGAGGACGCCTCTAAAACAGAGATTATTTTATTTTTTCAAAGGAGCTTGCACCTTCTTTCAATTGCCCTAAATTCCCTTCGTTAGAGTGGATTTTTCCTTGGAGAAGAATTAAGAGTGAAGAGGCTCCATCTGACCCATCCCTGGGACCCCCCCCAAGCTGTGCCAGGGTTCCTAAATCTGCTCTGGCTGTGTCAGGCTGAGCCCTTAAACCTGCTCTGGCTGTGCCAGGATGGGCTCCCAAATCTGCTCTGGTTGTGCCAGGCTGAGCCCTTAAACCTGCTCTGGCTGTGCCAGGATGGGCTCCTAAATCTGCTCTGGTTGTGCCAGGATGGGCTCCTAAATCTGCTCTGGTTGTGCCAGGCTGAGCCCTTAAACCTGCTCTGGCTGTGCCAGGATGGGCTCCTAAATCTGCTCTGGTTGTGCCAGGATGGGCTCCTAAATCTGCTCTGATTGTGCCAGGCTGAGCCTCTAAATCTGCTCTGGTTGTGCCAGGATGGGCTCCTAAATCTGCTCTGGCTGTGCCAGGATGGGCTCCTAAATCTGCTCTGGTTGTGCCAGACTGAGCCTCTAAATCTGCTCTGGTTGTGCCAGGATGGGCTCCCAAATCTGCTCTGGCTGTGCCAGGATGGGCTCCCAAATCTGCTCTGGCTGTGCCAGGATGGGCTCCTAAATCTGCTCTGATTGTGCCAGGCTGAGCCTCTAAATCTGCTCTGAGAGAGGAACCCTGAGCAGGACATGCAGCCCCACCACGTCCCTGGGAAGGGGATTTGGGGTCTTTCAGCCCATTTGGGGTGGTGCGGAGCTGCAGCTCAGCCTCCATCGCTGCACCCCCAGATCTGTGCCAGGTTGAGCCCCTAAATCTGCTCTGAGAGAGGAACCGTGGCATCATGTCCGTGGGAAGGGGATTTGGGGTCTTTCAGCCCTTTTGGGGTGTTTCAACCCCTCGGGGGGTGCTGCAGAGCATCCCTGGGACCCCCCCCCCCCCCGCCCACCAAACTGTGCCAGGCTGAACCTCTAAATCTGCTCTGGCTGTGCCAGGCTGAGCTCCTAAATCTGCTCTGCTTGTGCTGCATCACAGCCCCGCCACGTCCGTGGGAAGGGGATTTGGGGTCTCTCAGCCCATTTGGGGTCTCTCAGCCCATCGGGGGGGGGGGGGGGGGGGCAGGGGATGGTGCAGAGCATTCCTGCGTCCCCAGATCTGTGCCAGGCTGAGCTCCTAAACCTGCCCTGAGAGAGGAACCCTGGCATCACGTCCGTGGGAAGGGGATTTGGGGTCTTTCAGCCCATTTGGGGTCTTTCAGCCCTTTTGGGGGGTCTTTCAGCCCATTTGGGGTCTCCCAGCCCATTTGGGGTCTCTCAGCCCCTTTGGGGTGTCCCAGCCCATTTGGGGTCTCTCAGCCCATTTGGGGTCTCTCAGCCCCTTTGGGATCTCTCAGCCCATTTGGGGTCTCCCAGCCCCTTGGGGTCTTTCAGCCCCTTTGGGGTCTCCCAGCCCATTTGGGGTCTCCCAGCCCATTTGGGGTCTTTCAGCCCATTTGGGGTCTCTCAGCCCCCTTGGGGTCTCTCAGCCCCCTTGGGGTCTCTCAGCCCCTTTGGGGTGTCTCAGCCCATTTGGGGTCTCTCAGCTCCTTTGGGGTCTCCCAGCCCATTTGGGGTGTCTCAGCCCCTCGGGGGGTGCTGCCGAGCCGCAGCTCAGCTCCATCCCCACACCCCCATCCCGGCCATCCCCCCGCTCCCCCCGGCTCTCTCCCGGCTCGGCTCTGCCTCTCCCTTATCTATTTTTCAACGCAGCTTCAAAGCCGGGCGCCCTCAGCCAGCCGGAGAGGGAGGGGCAGGACCGCGATGGGGAGATGATAACGAGGGGAGAGCGAGAGGGGGAACCCCCCAAGCTGAGAGGGGTGGGGTCTGCACCCCATCTCTGCACCCATCGGGGCTGGGACCCCTCACACCCCACTGCGAGCCCCCCAAATCTGGGGTTCCCAGCTCATCCTGCTGAGCCCCCACCTCCGGGAAGGGTTTCTGGAAGTTTCTGAGCTCTGAATTTCCATCTCAGCCAGGGCTGGCAGCCAAGGCCGGTCCCCGGCAGTGCCGCAGGTGCCTCTGCCCTTCCTCCCCTGCCTCAGTTTCCCTTTTCCAGTCCCCCCTGTGCGGCGTGATGGGA